CGCAATACATTTTTTATATATGTATTTTAATTTATTTAATTTAAAAAATACTTTTCGTAAATAAAAAATGGAAATTATAGATTTATCATGGAATGTAAATAAAAGTAAACGTCAAAATAATGAGTTATTACCTAAAAGTATAAGAGGGATTATTGTTGGAAAATCAGGTTGTGGAAAAACAACATTATTATTAAACTTGCTATTAAGACCTGGTTGGTTAGACTATAATAATTTACAAGTTTTTGGAAAATCTCTTTTTCAACCTGAATACAAAATATTAAAAAATTCTTTTGAAAATAAATTACCAAAAGAAGTTATTCTTAAACTATTTGAGTTGCAAGATCAAATAAATAAAAACAATGTAAATCCAGAGTTTGTTATTAAAGACATTTTTTTTTTTTTTTTTTTTTTAACATCTTCACTTCCAACAAGGCTGCAAGCAACCACTATAAGAGTTGGAAGTTACTGGAAGAGAAAAGACTAAATCTGTAGAGCAAGATAACGATTGACTGATGACTTAAAAGATTGCAAATTATATGAATCAGGAAAGCAAGATGAAGGAAGCGAATTCCAAAGAACTGATGTTCGAGGAAAAAAACTAGAAGAATAAGAGTTTTTGAAGCACTTAGGAACAGTCACAGAAAAAGGATGAGACTTAATTGAATGGCGAGTAACACGAGAATGAATTTTAGTAGATGGCACAAGGGACGCTAGCTCTTTAGAGCAGTGCCCATTATAGTATTTGTAGAAAAGAGAAAGAGAAGCAACATTACGACGATGTGACAAAGGTTGGAGATTGGCTGCCAGAGCAGGTCCAACTATGTTTACAATTCGTTTTTGCACCTTGTCTAAAGGAGAAAGAGCATCATTAGAAGATCCGCCCCAGATGTGGCAACAGTATTCCATACAGGGACGGATTTGAGATTTATAGAGATAGAGAATAGAATCTGGAGTAAGAAAGTGTCGAGCTCGACATTTCAAGAAATTTAAAAGATAAAACAGATATAGAGTGTAAATTTTTTGAAACAGCAGAGGATGTGCCAGAACCTGAAAATCTTAACAGTTTTAGAAATAATTTAATGATATTTGATGATTTACAATTAACAAAACAAAACAAGTGTGAAAAGTACTATATAAGAGGAAGACATAGCAATGTAGATTGTTTCTACTTGGCACAAAATTATTTTGAGTTGCCTAGGAGAACGATAAGAGAAAATGCAAATTTTATTTGCTTGTTTAAACAAGATTCTAAAAATGTAAATCATATTTATAATGACCATGTTTCAAATGATATGAAATTAGATGAGTTTAAAAAGTTTTGTAATGAAGCTTGGTCAAAAAAGCATGGATTTGTTGTTATAGATTTGTCTTCTGATCTATTAAATGGAAAGTATAGAAGTGGATTAGATTTATTTTATTATCCAACTTCTTTGTGGAATCGATAAATATATATTTTTTAAAAATATATATTTTTATGAAGCATTGGTTCTTTCAGAACTTAGCGAAGCCTGGATCACGAAGTGATCTAAAGAAGAAGACCTAATAAGGGTATATTCTTAAATGGAGAATTTTCTCCTAATAACAATCCTTTACCTACTGATGAATAATCATTTCCATTTTTAGAATAATATCCGTCTAAATAATTATAACTACCATTCCATGGGTTTAAAAATACTCCTTTTCCTACTTTTCTAATTTTAAATCCATAACCATTCTTTTTTCCATAAATAATACCATTTCCAGCAATTTTATTAACTATAGTACTTCCAGCAGCTGCAGCTGTTCCAGTCAATAATCCTGTTGCTATAGCCGGAACAACTTTTGATGCAATTACACTTCCAATTAATCCTAGTAAAGGTAAAAATCCACCATTTACTTTAGTATTATGTTTAAGTTGTGCTCTACTCAGTGAAAGTGTTATACCCTTATTTTTTAAATAGGCTGCTTTCATTCTGTTTCTTTGTGACTCTGTTAAAGCTATTTTGTGTTCACCATTTAAATCTTCATATGATAGTTTTATAACAGCATTAGTATCAGATTCAATTGCTTTTTTAATTTTTTCTTTCTGACTATCTGAAAGATTGATAAGAGTATCATAGTATTTTGTCATTTTTTATATATAAAATAATTTTTTTAATTCATTTTAAGTTATTGCTTTCTGTAATGCTTTATACTCATCATCGTCTATTTGACCCTGTCGTAACAACTCATCACAAATAGCAACAATCTCATTTCTTGTTCCAGTATTTCCTGCTTGTAAACCAGCTAAGCGTAATTTAAGCATCTCAAATAGTGCATTTGGATCACTAGGAAGAATGACAACTCCTTTTCCAGACTTTCCAATCATCTCTTCCCAAATAGGTTTTATTACATTAGCGTACTTATAACTTTTAGATGATCTCGGTTTAGCTGAATTTAAATCAGAGCGAATTGCATCTGTTTGATCTAAAATTTCTTTATACTTATTACGATCATTGTTAGTATATTTAACAGGATGAGATTTTACTATAATCTCCCAAAGGCCTGGTGTGCCAATGTATTTTTTACCTTCAATAGTTATATCATTACCTTCAATAGTTATTGGTTTTTTACCAATGTAAAATTTTTTATCACCTTCATTGTAATGTATACCGAATATATCATCTGATACTTTTTTACTATTTTTAGCAGTATATAACTTTAGATATTCTGCTGCGATAGGTCCTAATGACATTTTATCTACAACTTCAGGTGGCATGATTGATTTAGTTTCAGAATCTAGTAAAGCAGGATAACTTGAAAAAGTATTAGCTATTTGATCAGCTTTATTTTCTAATTTAGATATACCTTCTTTTATTCCAGATTGACTATCTATTATTGGCTTGTACAATTTTTCCAAGTTAGTCTGTAAAGTATCATAACCTAACTTTTCATTAATAGAATCTTGATAAACACTTTTCTTTAACCCATCAAGTTCTTTTGCTATTTTTAATCTTGCATCAATATCTGTAGCTTTTGCATACATTTTTATATATGCAATAATTTTTTTTAAATCACAATGTGATCCCTAGATCCCTAAAGGGATTAAAATCAACATATATTATGTTTGTAATACATAATATATGTTCAATTAATACATAATATATGTTTATTTAATTCTTAAGAGTATTATTCATCATTCCTATATTCTGATTTTTGTTAAATCTCATATTTAGCAATTCCATAGCTTCTTTCATTGCTTTCTCTTTACCTTGATTAATTAATGACTCTTTAGTCTGTTCATCTATATTATTTTTAGATTTTGTTCTAATTTGTTCAGTCATAGCTTGAAACTTTTCAAGTTCTGAAAGTATCATATTAAATTCTACATCATCAATATATTGATCTGATATAGCTTTAGAAATAAGACTACTTATTGTATTTAGTTTTGCATCAGCTAGTACTTTAATCTTTTCATGCTTTTCTGCTTTTATTGCTAATTTTTTAATAGCTTGTGATCCTATTAATGATAATACACCCATACCTAATGCTGCACCTTCACATGCAATAGCTACTGGTGCCCCAACTATTGTTGTTAAAAAACCAATACCAACAGCTCCAAGTGTCATAGTAGTTGCAAGTAATGAATTATCGATAGCTGAAATTATTCTTACAGCTCTGTGATATTTTTTACTTAGCATAGCTCTTCTATTTCTTTCACATTCCATTTTATTTTGAATTTCACTTATCTTATCTAATCGATATCTCTGATCTATAGATTGTGGTGGTGCAGATGGATTTTCTGAAAACTGGTTAAGATCTGGATAAAGCTGCTTACATTCATTATTATATCCATTATTACATAGCATTTCTTTTTTCTATAAAGAAAAATTTGTTTTAAATCACTTTTGTGATCAATGCTTCGCTAAATCACTTTTTACCAAAATCAAATATAGCTTTATCAGGTTTATCTTCATCATATATAGTTTCTTTAATTACTTCTCCTATACTTGATAATAAAGATTTTACAGATTCTTTATCACTTTTCTGTTTAGTTCCTGAGTCATTTTGTGGTCTAACTTGTTCTTCTTTAACAGGTTCTAAAGCATCTCTATGTGATATATAATTTGCATTTAAAACACCATTATAAGTTGATATACAACATAACAAATCTCCTTTTTTAATGTTTATATCTTTTTTATCGTAATTATATAAAGTTATTTTAATATCATCAGTAGACTCTATTACAACAGAATTTAGTAAATTTAGTGATGGTTTATAATTTTCTGCAAGTGAAATCATTACATGTCCTTTATCTATTTCAACTCCACACATTAAAGAAATGTTTTCATATGAATTTGATTTTACTGTAAAATCTTCTTGTGCGAATACTTTAATATGTCTATCATTTATTGCTCTATGTTCTAAATCTGAATTAATATTAAAAGTTATTCTATATTGTTCATGCTTTTCATAATATAAAAACATTCTACTATTATACATTTTATAAATGTAAAGATTTTTTTAAATCACTCTTTAATCCTCATATCTATTTTGTTTTTAAAGTTCTAGCAATATAATTTAAAATGCTTTCACCTTGATGTAAAAAATTACACTTTTTATTATCATTAACATTTTTATATATTAATATTTTTTCTCCTTTTTTATTTTTCTTTAATTTACTCTCTACTAATTTACATGGAGTATAATGACAAATTTCTACATTTTCTTCAATTTCTTTTATAGAATGAGCATATTTGCAATTTATATTTTTACATTCTTTTTTATCAAGAATATATTTGCATAATTTAGTTTTAGCTTTTCTTAATTTAGATAATTCTGACTTTTTAGGATGAAATAAAACACACTCTTTATTCCTACATTTTGGATAATCATAGCAAATATGAATATGCCTATATTGACATGAAGATTTAGTGCATATTAGTCTTTCCTTTACAGTATTACAATAAGGAATATCATGATTGTATTTACATTTTCTTCCAAAAGGACATTAATTATCATTTAAAATATTTTTACAGAAAATGGGTAGTTTCTCTACAAAATGAATTGTTGAAGGTTTTCCGTCTTCAGTAAAATTAATATCTACATTAAATGGTTTTTCAAAACTAAATTTTCTTTTTTTGTAATGTTTTTTAAAAGAAGTATTATCTATAGCAGGATAATCATCATTAATAACATTATAAGTTGGAACATAATTAATCCATTTCAGCTTATCTTTATGCAGTTCCATGATTTGAACTGTTTTTAAAGGAATTGGAACTATAGGTTTTTCTTTAACTTCATCTTCATCATCAGATGTAAAATAAGTAGCTTCATCAGATGTATAATAAGTGTCATCTTCAGAATCAGATTCTTCAAATTCAAATTTTAATAATTCTTCAAAAAGTTTAAATTCTTTTTGAAATTCAGATATTTCATTAATCTCATCATCATTCATTTTTATTTTTATTAATTGTAAAAATATTTTAAATCAAAAAATTGAAAATGAATTAAATAATTTTCTTTTATATATAAAAAGAATGGAAAACGAAATGCAAAATTCATTTTTAAGATCAATAGAACAAAGATTAAGATTAATAGAAGAAAAATTAAATATTATTAATATTCATGATATTGAAATGACTGAAGATGAAGAAGTTACTACAGTTACTACTACTGAAGTTACTGAAATTACAGAAACTACTGAATATAGTGATGATATTGAAATGACTGAAGAAGATGATGAAGATGAAGAAGATGAAAATAGTCACATTAAAATATTAAAATATTTACATGAATTAGGTTATAAAGATATAGAAGATATAGAAGATGCAATAGATGATGCAATATATAATGCTGTTGAAAAAGGTCAACTTGAAATATTAAAATATTTACATGAATTAGGATATAAAGGTACAGAAGATGCAATAGATGATGATGGATGGACAATTAATTGTGCTGCAAAAAAAGGAAACCTTGAAATATTAAAATACTTGCATGAATTAGGGTATAAAGGAAATGAAATGACAATTAATTACGCTGCAGAAAATGGTCACCTTGAAGTAGTAAAATACTTGCATGAATTAGGGTATAAAGGAAATGAATGGACAATTTATTCTGCTGTTGAAAGTGGAAATATTGAAATTATTAAATATTTACATTCGTTAAGATATAAAGGTAAAGGTACAGATTATGCATTTAATTGTGCAGTAAGTAAGCAGATAAGCTCAGCATCAGATAGTAACCTTGAAATTATTAAATATTTACATGAATTAGGGTATAAAGGTTCAGAATTGTTTAATAATTTAGCTGTTAAAAATGGATATATTTAAACTTTTGATACATGTAGTTACTATAAATTCTAGTAGTGATAAAGTTAAGCAATGCTTCTACTATGCTTAAGTAAATCCCAGCGCATGCGTATTAAAAATAAAAAAAATTTTTGAAAATGAATTAAATAATTTTCTTGTGTATATAAAAAAGAATGGAATTAGAAAATAATATTGAGAATAATAATTTTTTAATAAAACCTTCAACTCAGGTATATTATATTACTACAATATTAAAAAAATATGGGTATAAAAAAGGTAATAAGGTTGATTTCGCTGCAAAAATAGGTAAACTTTATTTAATTCAATTATTAATTCGATTTGGAGAAAAAGGAAGAGAAAAAGCAGTTAATTTTGCTGCAAAAGAAGGACATCTCGAAGTACTAAAATATTTAGATTCATTAGGATAAAGAGGAACAGAAGATGCAATTGTTTATGCTGCAAAAGAAGGTCATCTTGAAGTAATTAAATATTTACATGAATTAGGGTATAAAGGTACAGAAAATGCAATTGATAATGCTGCTTTAAATGGTCATCTTGAAGTAATTAAATATTTACATTCTATAGGATATAGAGGAACAGAAAATGCAATTGATAATGCTGCTTTAAATGATCATCTTGAAGTAATTAAATATTTACATTCTATTGGATATAGAGGAACAGAATGGGCAGTTAATTTTGCTGTATTTAATGATCATCTTGAAGTAATAAAATATTTACATTCATTAGGATATAGAGGTTTAATAAATGTAATTAATTGTGCTGCAGAAAATGGTCACCTTGAAGTAGTAAAATATTTACATTCTATAGGATATAGAGGAACAAAATCGGCAGTTAATTTTGCTGTATTTAATGATCATCTTGAAGTAATTAAATATTTACATTCTATAGGATATAGAGGAACAGAAAATGCAATTACTTGTGCTGCAGAAAATGGTCACCTTGAAGTAGTTAAATATTTACATTCATTAGGTTATAGAGGAACAGAAAATGCAATTAATTGCGCTGCAGAATTCATTTTCTAGAAAATGGTCACCTTGAAGTATTAAAATATTTACATGAATTAGGGTATAAATAAGAAGCAAGAAAAAAAATTGAAAGTATATTTCTTTACATAAATTAAAAAAATGGATTGTACAAGTAAAGATATTAAATTAGGAAGTTATAAAAGAAGATTAAGTTTAGCTCGTTATTTACAAAATAAATTTAAATTACAATATGAAAAGTTAGAAAAGGAAAGATTAGAAGAAGAAAAGTTAAAAACACCAGATAATATTTATTATTAAGAAAAAGTCACGTGACCTATGACGTCATGCAAGAATTTTTCGTAATATTTCATAACAAGAAATAAAAATTAACACTTATTTTAAAAAATCAATTTTTTAAAATAAAAAATTATTTCTTGTTGAAATAATTTATACACAACATGGTTAACATTGAACCCTATATTAATATTAATTTATGGTTGAAAATAGGGTTGAAAATGAAAATGCCCCAGAACTCTCCTTCTTCTACTACTTATATATATATATATATATATATATATATATATATATATATATATATATATATATATATATATATATGTATATATATATATATATATATATATATATATATATATATATATATATATATATATATATATATATATATATATATATATATATATATATATATAAGTATGATAAAAACAAGATTTGTATAAGATTGAAGAAAATAATTAATTGATTGTAGTTATAGGATTCTCGCAGAAGACTGGGGTCAGTCTTGTCATCGAGTACCTTCTAGACGTGTAATACATATAAAAATCAGTTGCATACGTGGTAAATATGTATGCGGTACATATATGCCTTAAAATTATTAATGTTACTATCTCCTTTTAGTATTATTTTTATTGTTTCCTTTGAAAAGTTACATTTTTTGTTTTATTAGGGTTGTTTTATATTATTTTTATTTTTAAATTTTAAATAGGAGTTTAAAAAAACTCTTTGTAGTTGTTTAGCTTGATTATTGTAGATTTTAACTTTGTTTTCAGGTTTAAAACTAAAAAGTTACTTCAGATAATTCTAAATTTGAAGATAATAACACCAACAACACATAGTGGAAATAAAACTGACTTGCAACCACTGCAAAAACATCTTTGTAAGACAATTGCGAATGAATTAAATAATGATGACATTTGTAAAAACAAACGATTTTCTAACATTGCAAAAAGCAACAAAACAATATGAAATTAAAAAACAATTCGGTTCTTCATTTAGCTGCAGGGCTACTAATTTTCTATGGCATAGTAACATTTGCTGATAGCATATATTCTGAATATATAATGAGAAATTTAAAATAGGGAAAAAATGTCACATTGAACATGGTAAAGAAGTTTTTCAACTAAAAATTAGTGGAGTTGATAATAAAAACGATAAAGAAACGCTTGTTTATAAAATTACTTATAATTTGAACCCGACAACACGACAACACGACAACACGACAACACAACAACCCGACAACACGGGTTTCAAATTGAAGAGCACAATTCTAAATTTCTAAAAAAATTACTCATTTCACAATTGTCTCAAAAAGAAGTTCTTGCAGTGGTTGCAAGTCAATTTTATTTAGAAATTTCTTTAAAAAAAAAGATTCTTTAGAAAAAAATTAGGGGGCCGGGGTAGGGCAGGTCCCCCTTGCCCCCTCCCTCCTCCAAGTATTGTTGGCTCTGCAAACCAATTATAACACCTGCAATTGAAAAAAAATTTACTTTAGAAAATGAAATTTTCATTCCTACATTTACTTTAGAAAATGAAATAATAGCAAGAAAATACTTAAAATTAACGTAGCAAAACAAGTTTTATAAGAATTTTATAAGAATATAACATCATTTTATGCTGTTAAATTCTTACAAAACTTATAAAAATACTTTTAAAATCGTATAAAACTTCTGTCAAAATGCTATCAACTGAAGAAGCTGTGGTTTCTTCAGACTTAGGGTCGTCACATTTTTAAAATACTTAAGTAAAAAGTAAAAGTACTGGCTTTACAAGTTACAAAGTAAAAGTAAAAAGCGTTACTTAAACAAAACACTTCACTAAAAGTAAAAAAGTGCAGTGTCTTGGAAATTATTTACAAAGTAAAAAGTACTTTTGCACGTTGCCAAATTGATTACATAAACATTAACATACAAAAATTTTCAAAATAAAGCTGAACATTTAAACTCAAAATAAAGCTGAACATTTGATCAACGTAAACATGTTTATTACAACAGACTTTGTTTACAAAAGTTTTTTTCATAATGCATAATAGCAGCTGCTGTTAAGAATTATTCTAGTGCGTTTTGGCACGAAGGCTTGCCCTAATACACAAAGAAAAATCTTAGAAAAAACTTGTCGAAATCAATAGAACATTTAGTGACTACTCTAGTTAGTGATTCAATGATTTTTAATTTGTATATATTTTTATTACATTTTATTGGTTGCTCATGTTACACTAATGGGTTATTGTATGATATGAATTTATATAAAAGTGTGTAAAAAAAAAAAAGAGTTGTATTTAGAGAACTTTGTTTAAGGAGAAAAGTATTTTCTCTTTGTGTTTGGAACCAACACAAACAGCATAGCTACGTTTTGTCATAAACGTTTTTGGATAGCTTCTTAAACAAACAGTCAATTTTCTTATCACGTTGTGTGACTAGGTTGCGTGTTTTGCGTGTTTAACATGTGGTCTTGCGTCTTGACGCACTGCTAGAATCTAAACTCAAGCGGTACCAGTGTCAGTTTCGTGAAGTTATGTGTATAAAACACATTTGAACTAATGAAAGTCAAGTACTTTTGTACTTTTATCTAAAAGTAACTCGTTATAAAGTAATAGTAATAGTAGTAAAAGTAACGAATAGTAAGCCGGAAAAGTAACGAAAGTAACTCGTTATAAAATAATAGTAATATCGTTTAAAAGTAATAGTAAGCCTGAAAAGTAACGAAAGTAATTCAGTGTTCCCTAAAGTTAATAAAAAATTAATCGCCAATTAAACTTATTATTTCTTGAAGTTAAACAAACTTATACAAAAATTAATTTGGTTTTCAAATAAGTTGTTAAACCTAACATGCCATCATTGAAGTTACAAAAAATAGTTTCAATTTTTTGCTAAAGGAGAGCATGTACTGAAAGTATTTAAAGACCTTTCAGAGGCATTTAATACAGTTAACCACGGCATCAGAATTAAAACGTTATAGCATTAACGCAGTAATGGGTAAATGTGTAAAAATCTATCTGAGTAACAGAAAGGAGTTTGTAATTAACAAGGAGTCAAGTGTTCTTGATATTGAGTGTGGGGTCCCTCAAGACTCAATCTTAAGACTGTTATTTGTTTTTAATTTTCATCAATGATATGAATTAAGCATTATTTATAGTATCTTCAATTATGTATGCTAATCACAACTTAATCATATTAGTTTAAATTCGATGTTTGGAACAATGAATAATGAACTGGAAAACTTTAATTTGTAGTTGATATAAAAATAAACTATCCTTAAACTGAGAAAAAAATTAACTAGATCGTAAAACAGGTCAATGAATGTCTCTACCGTTAGAAATTTCAGAGTTGCTCATTAACAACATAAAAATAAAGCGGGAAAAGTATGCAAAGTTTTTTGTTGTTCAAATAGACAAAAATTTATCTTGGAGAACTTATATCGGGCACATTGAATCAAAAGTATCATCTTCAATAGGTATTTTATGTAAATCTTATCCATTTCTTGATTTCTGTTCAAGAAAAATTTTACTTTAGTCATCTCAGATAAGCTAATATAGCGTGGGCTAACTCACACAAAATAAAATTAATCTAACTAATAGGCTTGCAAAACTATGCTTGCAGAGCAATTCATTATCTATGCCAAATGGCCAATTCTTCTAATTAAAAATTTGAAAAGCTTAATTTATTCTTAAGTTATTATTTTTATGTTAAAATATAAAAATAATATGCTACCGGATTCTTTTTTTGATATATTTTCGTCATCACTTTCTCATAGTTATAATTTGCGATCAAAGACTATAACGGTATTCTGAATTTTCAATTATATCACAAGGCCCCAAAACATGAAAAAACTTGAAAATCAAAAATGTTTAATATAAATGGAATCTTTAAATGGCAAGCATTTTCTTTGTTTGTAAAAATGTTCACGATAAATAAAAAATAAAAATTTATTATAGAATCATTATTTTTGGAGTTACATACCCAAAAATGCTATTTTTTTTGGTGTTATAGTTTGGAATAATATATATATATATATATATATATATATATATATATATATATATATATATATATATATATATATATATATATATATATATATATATATATATATATATATATATATATTTAAACAATTTTTAAAAATGTATTCAACAAAATAGAGTGCTCAATGTTCTTAAAAGAACAGAGTAATTATAAATTAGTAGAAAATCACTTGACATTTTTTTTTTCATTTTACACTGTGTTTCATCAACAAAGGCTCATCAGAAATGCTTAAATTGATTATTTATATTTATTTCTGATGAGTCTTTGTTGATGAAATACAGTGTAAAATGAAAAGAAATTTTTGTTAAGTCATTTTCTACTAATTTATATATATATATATATATATATATATATATATATATATATATATATATATATATATATATATATATATATATATATATATATATATATAATAACTATTATACCAATATCTATATTAAAGTTTGTGCCAATACTTTATTAATGTATTTGTATCAGTCTGATGCGTAGTAATTTTGTATATATATGTATATACTAAAATAATTTAAATGAAAAATACAACTTTATAATGAAACTTAAAGTTTCATGCCATAAGATAATCATCAGCCATATTATTTCAGCCATATTATTGGAATAATAAGGCTGATAATTGCCGAATGGCATGAAACTTTAAGTTCCATTATAAAGTTGTATTTTTTCATTTAAATTGTTTTAATATAACTTGATCTATTTAAAAAAAAAAAAAAAAATATT